AGGGAACAACAATAACAGGAGAAGTTTGTGCTAAACAAGCAAAATTTTTTCCGAAGCACTTGAACTACAAGGAAGTTTTGACGCTTCTTCCGCTTGGCTAACACGTTCCAAGCAGCATCATGGAATGCGAGAAATTAGTATTCAAGGTGAGAAATTGTCAGGGGACTTGTCATCATCAGTTCAATTTTGCACCAATTTTGACAGTTTCGTGAGAAGTGAAAATCTGCTGCCAGAACAAATGTATAATGCCGATGAAACGGGTCTTTATTGGAAATGCTTGCCAACCAGAACTTTGGCATTTCAAAATGAAAGACAGGCTCCAGGTCACAAATCCAGTAAGGAGAGATTGATAGCCTTGTGCTGTTCTAATGCATCAGGAACACACAAACTAACACCAGTAGTTATCGGCAAAGCGAAAAGACCACAGTCTTTAAAGGAACAGTAGCTTCAAGTCTGCCTATCCATTATTTTAATCAGAAAGGAGCTTGGATGAATAGAGCGATATTTAAAGAATGGTTTGATTTTAAATTCGTGCCTCAAGTTCGTGACCATCTAAAATCCCAAGGCCTACCTGAGAAAGCTGTGCTCCTCATTGACAATGCGCCCTCACATCCTAACGAAAGTCTCCTGAGGTCAGATGATGGAAATATTTTTGTGAAATATTTTCCTCCTAATGTTACCGCACTTATCCAACCAATGGATCAAGGAGTTATCTCAAGTATGAAGAGAATCTACAGATGAAATTTGCAACAAAAGTACATCGATGAAGGCAATGATGTGACATGTTTCTGGAAGCCTTTTTCAATGTTAGATGCCATATACGAGATTTCAACAGCGTGGGATACAGTAAAGCCATCTGTATTGAAAAATTCATGGAAGAAGCTGATGCCTTTCATCACTAATGAAGATGACCAAATCCATGGATTCACTGGATTCAGTGAAAATGAAATAGCCATAGAATTGACAAAATTGGCTAACCAAGTTCATGGTGATGATGAAGTCAACGAGGAAAATATAAGAGAGTGGTTTGACTGTCACTCGTGTGAGCCGGGCTTCAAAATGTTAAGCAGTGACGAAATCGTAAATTCAGTGGGGGTGCAGCCAGAAGATTGGGAAGAAAGTGAGAATGAGGAAGAGATGGACAGTGCTGCTAGTAAGAAAATATCACATTGTGCTGCTCTTAATCATTTGGAATCCTTACTAGACTATCTTGAGGGTGAGGAGAACAGTTTATTAAGTGACAAGCTAATATTACGTAGGCTTCGTACGGACATCCGTTAAAAGGTAAATGTGAAAAAGCAAACGATAATATTAAATTTTTTTAAGTGTTAAGTGTGAATATTCGTAAAAAGTGTTGGTTGTTGAACACTGTGATTGAAATAACTAATTCATACTCAGTGTAATGTAAAAAAAGTATTAAATAGGCCATGAGATGACATAAAAATGAGGTTGAATAAATTTAAATAAAGGTAGGCCTATAGTATTATGAAGGTACAGTATTACAGTACTACTTTTAATAAAATTTGTCTTAACCAGGTTTTCAATTAACCGTGATTTCCATCCCCACCATTATCCCGGATAATAGAGAGCTGAGTGTATATATACATAGCATGGATGAAAATCAGTGCAACAGGACGCTAAAATACATTATATATATATATACAAAAAAAGCTCTGAATTAAGTAAACCTCTCCTATTCTAACAGATAATATTACACTACTTTTTATGTATTATTTTGGTAGTAACATTTAAATGCTAAAGGAATGTACTTCAAACAATGAGCATAATGAGCACAGAAACAAAAATATATTACATTATTGCTAATTCAGTCATAGGTGACTGTCATAAATCACAGATGCTGCATATATTAAACTTTATAAGAGAGCTCTTAACATGTCCGTCATCTCTTAGAGTGTGAAGAAAACGTATTATATTGAATTTTAGAAACTACTTCTTATGTAGTCTTCTTATACTAGTTGCACATTCACTCAACATCTCTTACAATCTATTAACAAATAAGTTTTTCTTTGTAGTATCTGTTCAGAGAATCATATTACAATTTCATTCATGAGGATCTGTTAGAGACTGGATATGGTACACTATATCTCGTAAGATATATGAAACTATAAAACCTATTTTGTCCGTTTATAACATTCACACACACAAAAATTAAGCTGATTCTTTCAAATTTCATGTTTATGACCCATCATGACTTAGTCATTCTGACCAACGAAGCAAAATACAAGTTCCCAAAGCAGTAACTCTAGAGCCTCTAACGGCAGAACCAGTAATTCCATGTCACGGATTATCTCCACTGGTTACTTACTGAATTCGGTTGGTAGATGGCATTAACTTGGATTAGGTGGACGGTATACACAGCGCTATATCTCAGAAGACAGAGCTCTTCATAATCGCCTTTTTGAATCTCAAATCATACAATATCTGCTTCAAACGATGTGCCGTCTACCAACTGAAATTTGTAAGTAAACTGTGGAGGTGATTCGTGATTTGAAGTTACTTATTCTACCGCTAGAGGGTCTAGAGGTACTGCATAGGGAAGTTGTATTGTGCTATATTGGTCACAGTGATTAACAATGTGTTGAGGCATTCCGAAGAACTTGTTTTATTTTTGTCCGTATGAGTGCAATAAACGTACAAAATAAGTTTTTTTAGCTTCATATATCTTACATAAATGAGTGCTTTATCGAATGTCAGCTGCGTTGGCACGAGAACGTTTGGGTCTAGTTAATTCAGCATTTAGTGTCCATATTACAACTGTGTTTTACTTGTTTCGTTTTCTGCAGCTCCAGACGCTTCCACGTGTAACCATATCGTAGGAGCAGCTCAACTATTCCGGGTTTCTAGCGTTGTGTTATAGTATTATAAAGAATTTAAGACATATTAAACATAATGGAGAAACATGAAGTCGGTACCCCCAAATATATTGCCAACAAAATAAAGGCGAAAGGCCTCCAGGAACTTCGTTGGTATTGTCAGATGTGCCAGAAGCAATGCCATGACGAGAAAGGTTTCAGGTGCCATATGACGTCAGAATCACATCAGCGACAACTTCTTCTATTTGCTGATAATGCAGACAGATACATTAATAATTTCTCAAAAGAATTTGAAAGCGGTTATCTGGAACTACTAGAACGTCAGTTTGGTACAAAACGTGTTCGTGCAAATCGTGTATACCAGGACTATATCTCCGAGCGTGATCATTTGCATATGAATTCTACGCAGTGGGAAACGTTGACAGACTTTGTGAAATGGCTTGGAAGGAAGGGAAAGTGCAAGGTGGATGAGGCTGAAGAAGGATGGTATGTCCAGTATATAGACCGTGACCCAGAAACAATTGCCATGCAAGAAGCTGTTTCCCGCAAGGAGAAGATCGACAGAGACGACCAAGAGATGATGATGGCCTTTATTGGAAAGCAAATTGAGAAGGGAAAAGAATGTTCCAAGAATGACACCCGTGTCTTCACGGAGTTTGTGCAGCCAAGTGAGGAACAGAAAGTTGTTGTAAATTTGAATGTAGAATCAAAANGTGACAAATAAAACTAAATTTTCATATTATCAATTTTACATGGTGTATTTGAATAATTATCCATCCATTGTTATTAAACTTGCAAATGATGATAAGAAGTAACAGCACTTACTGTAGTATACTGCATAAGTTTAGGCTTGTTTTTACAAGCAAACTAACAAAGCTGGTTTTGGCTTACAGACCATTCAGCCATATTTTTGAAGAACAGAAGCATTGGCATGGTCTCTACACATTTATAGTGAGAAAACAAATGGAAAATTTCATTTAATATTTGGTGTACCATTGAAAAAAATCACATAAGACAATAGAAATGAATAGATTCAAGTGGATACATTGTAACCAACATACAGCAACATAATATGTAAATATGTCTGTTAATCACAACAACTTTAGACTTTCAATAAATGATAGAATCAGATTGTCGATAGATCAGTTTGGTTTAATAAAATATTTCAACACAACATGTTTCGGTCCTTTACAGCCGTCATCAGGCATATATAAACAATAAAATGCTTTCATGTTCATTACTAACCTGCATGACAATGGATCCATTGGTAACAGTCTTTTCATATACAAAGATATACATAAGATTACAATGTTTAAATATACTAAAATAATTGTTGAACATTAGTAAACCTTGTGTATGATTATTGTTATTTTTATTTTTACTGAAAATTGTCTTATTATGTACAAGTTTTTTTTTTGTGGGGGGTTGGTGGTGATAATATGTTATGAGTGTTGTCTGAGTGTATGTTGATTGCAAAGGCATTTGCTTTAAACAAGAAAAACACAGAACGTGAAACAAAGTGCAGTAAAACAAAACAGATGAGTGTAATTGAATGGCATCTTAGCTTAGATTAATTTAAGGGTGTTCAGTTTGTTTAGAGTTAGAATCCTTAAAGTTGTACAGTAACTTATAATTCGTATTGTCTTGTCACGAGGTGTGCTGGGATAGCTTTATTTGTAAAATGAGCAATGTTGGGAGCTAGATAACTGGAGTTTCGTTCTCAGGAGAGGCATCATTTTACTCTTCACCTTCACCTCCAGACTAGTTCCGGACCTAGCCTCATATCCAGTAAGGGTCCTATCTGGTATTGAAAGGAGCTGGAGCTTAAAGGTGACCGTTCACCTCGTCCTGGTGCTGGGATTAGTACTTTACTTCAATACTCCCTTTACACCATTGTGTGGTGTTTCAGCATGGAACAATTTTACCCTTTATCTTTACGTTACAGGATCTCATTTTGAACATATTTTACACATTCACATTAGATCAGTGAAGTTATTTTTATAGCTCAAGGCATTGGAAGGCCAGGTTGCTGTATTGCGTAAGCGAGAGGTGGAGAGCAGGAATGAACTTTCTCAGTATAAACAGTCTGCTGAATCTTGTAAATATAAACTTGAGAAGAAGATCCTCCTCCAGCTTCAAGAAGAATATGCCCGATTCTTTCACCAGTTTAAACAGGTAAGATTATGAATGTCATGTTTACAGTCTGATGGTTAGAATTATGAATAAATGTTAATTGTAGGAGTGTCGCTGAAAGATGGATCAGTGTAGCAGACAGTGATTTGCTTAATGGATCGAACGTTTCTGTTATCATGCAACTAATTAACTCATGTTAACAATGATGATACTTTTAAAAACAACCACATACATTGAGTCAAAAAAAAAACATTACCATTCTTTAGAACAGATAAATTACAAACAGTAGAAGTAGGCTCTGCAGTAAGTGTATCGGAAGGGGAAGTGTCTGCTGGTACAGGTTGCCCTAACATCAGAAGAAAATGTAACAGATAACCTCATAATAGAAATATAACATAGACTGTGCTGAATACACAAGTAAATGTGTTACCAATGCTTACTGAAACAGCTGAGAACATATCAAAAGCATTTGCAGAACGTTTAAATATTGTCCCTAGAATACTGTTCTTCTGGAACAAATATTATGTTTCTGGGCATTATCCATCATCCTGTTTTTATCTAAAATATTGTCCTGTTTATATTTCAAAACACCATTTTGGAGACAGGATTCTGCCTCCATCTTCAGGTAAAACTTACTCAGGACAATGGATAATGTCGAGAAACATAATATTTGTACCTAGGTACGATCGTCACAAACTTTTAGATCTTTAATATTTACTGGTGGAATTTGTAGTGTAAATAGAAGATTTTAGTTTCAGTTGAAAAACGAGATTTGGCATTTGTTTGCAGATGTAACCACCCTCTCAAATGGTGAAATTAGTAATTAGTATAGATAGTAATTGTGATGCATTTACTCTGACTTCAGTGGTCATTTTAGTTAACAGCAGTAGTTAATGTCCTGTAACAATTACAATTCAGATGGAGCGTACACATACGAAATGTGCAGCTGGAGAACAGCGAATATCGGAATTGGAGGCAGAGTTAGCACTTTCAACTGAAGCAGCAGCATCACTCAAAGACTATATCAAATTGCTTGAAGAGAAAGTAGTCAGAGTTACAAATTTAAAGCATCAAGTAGAACTCGATGAACACCGCCTTACTCAGGCGCAGCAAAGGATTAAGGTAAATTTTTTTAATCCTTCTCATCATCATCATCCTTCCTGAGAAGGTTGTGGAAAATTCACAGGTTTTATATAACCATTGTAAAGTGACAGGTTATTTTGTGGTGAGAAGAGAATGCACAGCAACAATTATTCTTCACTTTAACTTTAAAAGTAGGAGTGTGCATTAAATTCAGCAGCCGCTCAAATTTAACCTGGTGTTAGTAAGGTGGGGTGTCTCAGACCCAAAAGATTTTAAATTGACTGTAACTTTTTAAGAACGTGTGGCATTGAGTCATGCCTCAGTGTAGCTTCCCCTCCCATAACCCGCTACTAGATGTCATAGGCTGTTGCATGCAAGCAGGTTTAGTGTGCAGATATGTAAAATGTGCTGGGGTCCACAAGACCCTGCCTTACCAAAAGTGTGACTACCGAAACTTAATGTAACCGATTACTACTACTAGTAATCTACTTCACCTTACTTACGTATATGTAGAAGTCATTTAATGGACACTTTAGTATTTTTGTAAGGTCTGATTAATTTTTTAATTTCTTAAATAGAATATATCATTACATACTCTTGAGAGCAGTCTTTAGAATGCTGGAAGTGTTTCCAGTGTTAGATATAAATGCTACTTCTGTCTTCAGTGCTGGAGTAGTGTGAGTGATTCTTCTGCCTATGGGTTTATTGGACTAAAATTCCTCCACCCTTCACCCTTTGGGCCTTATGGACAAAAATGCCCTACCCTTCCCATTTGAGCGTGTTGGACCAAACTCTGTATGTACATGAACACTGGTATGTCTTACTGCCTTTGACTCAGAAGATGAAAGCAGCATGTACCTACATAATGTTGACAACACTGCCCACTTACATTGCAGTACCCAAAAGCAGGATCAACATCAAGAGATGCCGTCTTGTATCTGCCAGTAGCAAGTTTCCTCACTACATGTTTGTTTTCTGATAAAAATAAAAAGTAAAACTATCCCTGTAACAGGCCATGAAGGCCCATAGGGTTGTGAGACGTTGAGGGTCCCACATTATCTAGACACTCGGCTCAAAGATGGCGGTAAGGTTGTCAGTCTTACGTGCTGGCTGCGCTTTACTCCCCAGGAATATTATTGTAATTAATTCCTGGTACTCATTGGCAATCAAAATATGTGAGACCCTCTTTTGAGGTTTGTATGGGGAGCAGTTGATTTTAAAGCTAAACAAAGGAAAGTCTCAAATGGAAAATATTTGAAAGAAAGATGATTAACTGCGGATCAGAGAAATTGAGCGTTAAATGAGGGAAAAACCTATAATCAAGGAACATCAAATGAGGGTTCCACTGTATTTTTTCTGAGGGAAACTTACTGGATATATATTACAGTCATGTGAACTGGAATGTTACAAACTGAAAGGTCCCATGAAGTGCACTTCTTATACATCAGCCTTTCATAGATCATTTATGTAAGGTACAATGTTCCAGGAAAGAGACAGCTATCGGTCGCAACTGGACCTGTACGAGAAGGAATTAACAATAACTTCTTCATCAGGATTTGTGAACTCTCAGCAGCAACAGCAGAAGTCACAAATAGAGGCATTGGAGAAGACAATTGAAGGATTCCATGAACTGGTTGAGAAGTTGGAGGCGGATCTAGGAAAACGGTGAAAGGTTCAGGCAAGCACATACATAACTGCAGTTACAGTCATATGGTTTAACAGCCTCTGTGTGTCTGGTGCTAGAACCACAAACTTCAACACTGCTGAGATTAAAGCCTGCCATTGGACATGATCCTTAGTGAGTTCAGTCCATGTTCTGGCCTCACAGTCTATTTCCTTGAATTACATATCAATTTTTATTGTTATTTTATAAGTGGTCATTTTTCATCAAAATTTTATGTGTATTTTGTGCTTCAGTCTTCCAACTTAAATTATTACTGTCTAAATTCTTCTGTGCTGTCAGTGCTAGGTGACCTGCATATATCACAGAGTTTCTTGTTAGCTAATATCCACAATTGTTCACTTAGTCCTATTTAGGTCTTTGGAGTGTTATTATTTTGTCAAAACTTGCAGGTGTCCAGGTCAGTGAAAGAATCAGTAAGTTGGAGGAAGAGATAAATTCTTTGCAACAAGAGAAGGAACAGCTGATGAAACGCAGGGATGATGAGTTGGAGGTGGAGCTGGAGTGCAGGGCCCTGAAGGGTGATTTCAGTCCTGTGAAGTCCAAGGTTTTGCACTTCAGGTAAGACGACAGTAGAAGTTCTTTTGTACATAAGTTCTGCCTGTGCGTAACTGTGCACACATTAGGAAAACATGCTGCAGTGAAGGTATAGCTCACACACAGTTAAACTCAGCACTGGATGGGGGTGAGTGATAACTAGGGCCCGGATCTTTATGCACTAAGAACACTTAAAATATGCGCCAAAAGTGGGAAAATATGCACCAAAATTAAAACAATATGCACTTAACCTTTAAACGACTAAAGACAACGTATGTCGTCTTTAAAAGAAAGTCACCGGCACGAATGACTACATATGGTGTCGCAGA